TATACACTTTGACATTCTTCTGTTCTTTTTTCTGACACACTTAATTTTTCTTGATCCCTGCTTTGCACGTTATACCAATTTAAATTTTCTTGCTTGCTGTTCAATTCACAGAGATTGTTTGAATACACACTTGATGTGTAACCTCTTTGCTATGATACACCTCTAAATTTAGCCCTGATGTTTTAGTTTGTAGTTTAAATGGATGTCATGATGTTCCATAAATTTTTCTCCTAGAGAAATTACAGGTGTTCATTTTGAAGCAGTTTGTACTATCAACCGTGTTAAAACACATGATTTTTACACAGCAATGAAAAAAAGTTGGAAAACCCTTATATAAGATGGCTGCTTTTGTTCTTGAAATGACTGAACCAGACTGCCATCTATTGGAAAATAAATATTTTTTTTAATTAAACTTTTTTTAAAAAACTAAAACTGCTATAATTTGTTGTCAAAACTGATTTTGCTAGCAATCATACTTAGCTTGAAAAGGAAACACCTTAGTTAACTGAACTGTGATAAAACTAAGCATTTTCCTGTATCTTTTTCCCACTGATGTTTTCTGGAATGTGTTTTGAAGCACAGCTCCTTTTCTGACTTGCTGAACAATCAAATTCTAGTTTTTTCTGGAAGATTTGTAATTAGCAAACATAGAACAACTGCAGTATGTCAGTACTGAGCAATACACAAGTATAAAGCTTTCCCAGCTTGCCTGTGCAGCAACTGTCAGGGCTTTCCATGTCTTTGCATTCATAGGGGGACTAAAGAGTGTATTCAAGTCACAATGACCGAAATAGGAAAAACAGAGAGAGGAACTGGAAGTAAAAATCTGTAAAGCCACCATCAAACCCCACCCAGCCTGCACATCTTTGAGAAAAACTAGGAATTCCAACTAAAATGATGCCTAGGTGTACGTAGGCCTTTTTGAGCTCTCTCTGAAGCAGAATCACAAAACTATGTCCAATCTGACCTTTAATTTCATGGAGACAATGAACAGGGAGTTGTTGCCTGGTATGTACTAGTAAACATGGAATTTATATTTTCCATGACAGCACATCAGAAGTACATTTAAACACAGTCAGAGCTGAGAAAGAAAATATTGAAATTATAAAGCTTCCAGTGCAGCTTTAACTTGACTTCATTTAGTTTATTCTTTATAATGTACTCTTCAAATAAAAGATAATATTAACTTACTCTCATCTAACTTTGTGCTATTCAGCAAACAAGCATTCACAGTTTTCCCTCTCTTCATTAAACATTCTCCCCATTCAGGAAGCTAACACAATCTTCTTTTCCAGAACCCCAACGTTTTCACAGTTTTTCCTTCAATTTTTGGAATGGAAGTGTCCTGTGGGGACTTTTTTTCATCTCCGGATCTGTTTCTATTCATGTCTTCACTGTGGTGTCTCCTGTTACTCTCCTTACTTTTACTTACCACTCCATTGCAATCTCCCTCTCCCAGATGTTCACGCCTTCCAGTTCATAAGATCCTGACTTTCACTTTTCCTATTCAGCTCTTCCATGTCCTAAGGAAACTTAGGAGTCAGATCTGACTAGTAATTTGGAACTCAGGAGACTAGACCCAAAGTTGTTTTAAATTTTTAAATTTTTTACCTAACCTCAGAGCTGTGCAAACTCTGCTTCCTATTTGACTTTAAAATACTGTGAGCACACAAATCTCTAAGGTTTTAATGCCTTATGTCACACATCAGACACCTGGTCAATAGAAACATATAAAGTAATAAAAACATGTAATGTTTTCGATGCAAATTTGATGAATAGTCCCTTATTCCAATCATTCCAGAACAACTTGCTGTGTGGTTGGATAACTAATTTTCTGATAACACAGCAAACAGAAGAATGGATTCAATTCTGTCTTTGACCTAAAGACTTCCAACCACAGCTTCTTCAAAAGAAAAGGTAGTATTCTACAAGTGCCATATCACTGAGCAACAAACAATCAAAGACACCTGAGACCAGAAAAGGTAAAGACTTTGCCTGTGTATAAGGCATCCAAAGTCCTGCTCTCTGGATTGCACTGGTACTTTTCCAATGGTTATACAGTTCAGAAAGAATACTAGATGGGATCACAGCCTGATAATCAGTACTTTATTCGGGAGACTGTAAAACCAACGTTAAAGCTCACTCTTATGCCATGGAAAGAATTGGATGCTATTCTTCCAGATGAAGCCTCTTACTGTCAAGTTATCGCATTAAAAAGCAGGTATCTCCACTACCCTTACACTAAACAAAAACAGTGAGCCCTGCTTTTTCAAGCAAAAGAGTTTGGCACTTGAGATTCAGGAGAGAATTCCAGGCTACGGATCGTGGATAGACAGACACCACTTTCTGCAGTCCTAAACCAACATAAATCTTATTTAGCCAGAGCAGTACCACAGGTGGTTTTGACCCTTTCAAAAGAGCCAATTGCTAAAAAAATGCTTTAAAATACACTGCTTCCTGATGCCTTCTCTTTCCCAAGCCCATGCTATGCTCAGGAGCTGGCTCCCGATGCTCATTGCTCCAACTCCCCTAGTTTCTATTCCGATCAAAAATTCCACAGTCTTGGCCTCCTACTTCTCTGAACAATGTATGTATGTATGGTCAGTCTTTGTGAACAAAGATTTGGGAAAGGCCTTTACCCTTCGAGCCTGCGCAGTGGATTTTTTAGGTGAGACACAGTGTGTGCTGAGCTGAGCCCACCCATTAATCCTAAGGTTCATAGCACGATGCAAAAAATACATATGTCTCCTAGCAGCCAGTTCCTTTGCAGAATCTCCCTAAGGTCATGAAGTGTAATGGCTTGGGGTTTGGAACCTCTTCAGACCACCGGACTACAAGAAGTTGAAAAGCCTGCACCAGCCATCATCTCTGAAACCAGTATTTGTTCAGGACATGGCATTATTAACACATTATCAGCAGGGACTTGATTTCTACACCTCTTCAGAGCAGATGCTGGTCCTGCAGGCAAAAAGAGTCTGTGCTCCAGCATTACCACACTCCTGTGCTGCCCCTCCCATAGGGTCTTGGCATGTGCAGCAGAAACAAATGCAAGCTGAATAAATGCAGACATCAGAGAAAAATCCACTTTACCTACTGAGATTTTTACAGAAGATTCTCATGGAGGAGAAAACTAAAGTCAGAATAAGCTGCAAGAATCTTTCTCTTCTTTAAAACATATCCAAGAAATCTATTTCTGACTCCCCACATCTATATACATCTCCACTTCTTTGTATCTTCATGTTCTTATTGAAGAAACCTAAATGAATATTTATGTGTTATCACCATACAGTCACATGTCTTCCACAACCATGCTTGCTGGTCCCACCCCCTGAGTAGTTTGGCAACATTCACCTTTGCAACCATTTTTAGAGCTAAACAAATCTCTTAGTGCTTCTTCCCAATTGGCTCTTTCATGGCTCCTTACAGTGCATGTAGGTTTTTGTATTACCCCTGCACTACAAAGGGAGCCTAAACATCAAGGGAAGGCAGCACTTCCCCAAAATTAAAATACATTGTGTCTTCCATTTTTTGATGCAAGGCAGCCAACTGGCAACTGAACAGACTGAGTCACCCAAAATACATTTAAAAATTAAATGGATGCTTTAGAACAAATAGGAAATTCCCACATGACAGCAAAAAGAGTCCTCTCCATACAGGCCTGTATAATTGGGTTTACTCTAAGGGAAAATATGTTCTGCCCTCCCTCCTGACTTCATGTTGGGAGTATGCACCCATCATCCTGATTACAGTTTTCTTAGAAAGAAAAGCTGGATGCATTAGGAGGAGAGCCCATAAAATGCTTTAAACAGTCCCCAGTTTTGAAGATTTGTTTTCACATCTAGTTCAATATAAAATAGATGAAATCTCAAAAAAATGTATTGCCTAATTTACCTTTGTATATCCCTGCTGCACATAAATTACAGATTTAGTGTCTGAATACTTTCTATTCACATTGTATTTCATTTAAGTCTGTAAAAATTTCAGTCAGAGTAGACAGATTTATATGGAATATATTTTCTGCAAAACAGCAGCTGAGCAGATTTAAATAGCAGCTAGCACCTAAATTCAGAGAGACGCTAGAAGAGTGTCTAAAATGTTTAAATGGGATTAGTACCTTGTTCAAACTGAGTTCAATATGAGTTATATATCTAAACATTCAAACATCTAGAAGGGCTTTACAAAAGTATCTACTGCCTCTCAGGGCAGCTAACCACCTCTGTAAATCTCATTTTTTCTACATATACTGTAATAAATGCTCCAGAACGTGAAGTCCATAACTTGTCATGGTTTTCCTCACATAGGAGAGCATATTTTTTCCTAATTTACAAACAACACTAATTGAAATTTAATGCTTAGCATTCTTCCTCTGTTCTTTCCTTTATTTCCTGGGCAATCCCATTTTCTTATTGAGGAAGAGAATTCAATTAAAAAAAAAAAAAAAAGGCTTATTACAGTAAGAAAAAAAACGCATCCCAGAGCACTTTATTCATTGTATTTGAAAATCACTGAAGTATCACAACCACAACAATTTTCAGTATTAGAGACTCAGTCTACAATATCATTAGACTACTGAGAAACCTATATAGTAACAAAATATATAAGAATAACAACCGAAGATGCTAAGCTGCTTCTTTCTGGGGCCACATCTGATCAGATTCTGCAAACATTTAGTATTCAATATAGTATTGAGCATACTGATTTCCATTCATCTTTCAAAAAACACCCTTCCATGTCCTCCCCATGCTCAAAACAAGTAACTCAAATGATTAGTCATATCAGTGGTGTCATAAAAACACATTCTGAGGCGTGGTAAGCAATATCTTTGTAAAATAAGGGGAACATTACAGTCTAAATCTGTAAGAAGCACACTCTATATTATTTTTTCTATTATAATGTTAACCTTGTACTATTCTCACTCTTGTACTATTTTTTTTCTTGACTGCACCATAAATAAAGCAGATGTAACTGAATATATTGTCTTTGTATCCAATCTTACTTACTACATTAAGCTTGGTTTGGCTTCCACTGGTCATAAGTTCTTCCTCTGATACTTTACTAAAATTATCCAGATAATGGTCTGATATTGTATGAGACAGATCTTCAAAAGAGTATTCCTTTTCTTGGCACAATTTGATTTCATCTAAGAGCTTTGATAATTCTCCAGTCACAGCTTCACCTTTAAAAACAGACACACCATTAGTCAGTAATTAGAATACCAGGTGTAATTAATGCCTAAAATGGAAATACACATTCCTTAAATTTAATGAGTATCTGTTATTTCCATGCCTTATCTTCTAGACAATAATCTTCATGCACAATTCTCCTCTCAAAAATAATGGCATCTCACTCCAGAGTTGGAATTTGCTAGAGGCAATCTACATACTTCTGCATTGCCCTATACCTTGCATTTAATTAGAATGAACTACAACATATACTTACCCTTTCTCTGTTTTCTAATCCTGAAAGGTGTCTAGAAATAGCAGCTATCCAAGAATGTAAAATTAATTCAGGAATCGAAAGGTTCTACAAACATAGAAAATCCCATAGAACGTCCCATACTCTGCATCAGGTTCACCTTTGCTGCTGTAATCAATCAATATGCTACATAGGTTCCATAAACTGTGACTAGGTTGGAACTCAGTTTCTAAGAATGCACATCTGTCCCATCCAAGCAGTTATGCTTTATATACAATTCTTGTTCACTCTCCTAGGATTAAATGGAATCTTGGAAGGATATACTGGGCAAACCCACGCGTTTAAAACATGCCTCCCTGCAGCAGCCTACCAGAAACCTATGTTTAGTGCATTCTGCATTGTGTTTCACGGTTTCTCCTTTATTTATCCAATATCTTTAGTTAGGAAATCTAAAAGAATAGTAAGGCAATGGGCTTTATATGTCTACACTAACTGAGGGCCACTATTAGAAACAGTAGTAGTAGTAAGTACTGAAATTACACTGAGTGCTGACTATTCTGCAAATAGTCCACCGTCAGCAGCAAGACCTCCACAGACTAAAAAGCTACTCATTATCAACTGCGTTACGTTCTGATTATCTACTGCATGTGTGTTACACAGCTACCTTTAGTAAAAGCAATGAAAATACAAGTGAAAACCAAGTTTTTCCAGGAGCAAATAGGAAACCCCTTCTATTGACTCAGCGCTTAGACTTGATAAAATACAAATAGTTCCATGTTACTCCATCTTTGGAAATAAAATGCTGAAGAGAAAAAAAGAGAGTGAGCATATTAAGCTCAGCATACATAAAACAGACAAATATATTCACATAACTAAAGAATCCCCTGACGAGACTGTATCTAGTTGGTCTAGAGCTTTTTTTTTTTTTCTTCATAGTTACTGTTTGCTATGCTTAGCAAACAAAAATACTCAAAAAATATTTTTAAAATTACACCAACAGCCAGTTATAACTGAAATTTTCTGAGCCAAGAACAGTTGTTAATTAAAAGCATTTAATTGCCATTTAATATCTAATTAACAGAAATTTTGCATTCAAAACTTGTTACTCTTATTCAATGGTAACTTCACACAAAACAAGTAAATTCAGCAAAAATATAATCAAGTTTATTTATAGTCTGCTTTTTAATTAGAAAATTGAAATTAATCCAGATCAATAGTATAATAACTAAAAATTGGAAGTAAAATACCTAAATATTAAAATCTACTCTAAAATCATGATACAGTGCCCTATACAGAAACAGAACTACTGCTTCCTACAGAATTATGTTCATGTTCCCAATCCCATGTTTTCCTTCATATGGCCTGCAGTACTTCTTACTGGGCAAGAATGAATTCTGTGACAAAACTGGACTGACCTGTGAGTGAGAGTGTACTAACTAACTGGCTGATTGCTGCCAGAATGAATACATAATAGACACATTTTGCCTATTTCTTTCAGTGCAGGTACTTATTAAGGTCTCTCTCCTCTATCTAGCTACCTACTTTCACGAAAGTCACAGAAAGTAATTGATACTGTCATTCCTCTTCCAAATTTGGTTTAAATTATTTGAAATTAGATTGTAAGAGAATGGCAGGCAGATGGATGGGAAACACAACCAAGTACAATTTCTTTCCTTTAGTATCAGATTACACAATAGACAAGCAAAACCCAGCTAGCACGTTTTACATTATTTATAATTTGAAAGTGGATATAAAGAATGTGAGATCATGACCTTATCATTAAGAAGTAAAACATATTTTAAAAATATTTACTACTTTATTTCAGGACAAACACTCCTATTGCATATGGCAGCTGAACTAATCTCAAAGGAACTATTTATCTTCATATACCACATATCTGTTAAGTACCCCAATGGGAAACATGACTGGAACTATAGCATTTGTTCACTAGCACCATGAAGACCATAATCTGACATGCAGCAGGAAGCTTAGTTTTCTCATGAATGAAGAATCATGAAGATCATAATGTGACACACAGCAGGAAGCTTAGCTTTCTCATGAATGAAAACTCTCCCTGCAAACATGTTTAAAAAAAAAAAAATAAGAAGAACCTAGAAGAACAACAACAAAACATCACCACAACTCACACAACGAAAACAAAGAGAGGCTTAGTTATTTGCCAGCAGTCAATTACATTCACTCTGCATGATTACTGAGAACAGAAGTCAGGTTTGGTTCTACAAGAGGATGATTTTCAAGAAAGAGCAGGATGACAGTAAACTCAGAAAATGCCCTATTTTAGTGGATGCGTGTGTAAATGGTGAATCAGAACATAAAATGAAAGCACGTGCAGACAACAGTGATCACCACAGTGTACAAAAGCTGTGTGAGAAGATGAATGGAAGAACAGTACACATGTGATCTTTGAAAGAGCCTTCCAAATGTAACACCATTGGAAGATGTACTCACTGGGAGAGATGAAGTAAATTCCATTTTTAACCCAAATGTGAACAATGCCTGCATAGTACTTCTGACATATTTAGCATTTTTGTTTTACTTGAGTATGAAATGTGTAACGTCAGATAAATTAAAAAGATTTAAGATCAAATAATGCAACGCATTCATCAGTGACTTGTCCTTTCTGAGAATACAATTCCTTGCTCTTCTATATGACATGGATTACAGTGTATGTAGTCAAGATAGCTAACTGATGCTAGAAAAAAGCTCCTTGATATCAGTAACTTTCTTATTTTTTTCATTTTGCATATATGTATCAATGTTTTAGTAATATAATTTTAATACTAAAGAGAAGTTCGGTACAGCTTTTGCATTCACAGAGCACATGTATTTACTTTTAGCCTTTGGAGATGGAGGAACTTCTGGGGACAAAATGCAAGACTGACGTTCTGCGCATTCCAGTGGGCGTTCCTCTGAAATACTTGCATTTCCTGTTTCCATATATTCTGCAATTTAAAGATACACATATGCTTAAATGACTGAATTAAGGGGGTTTATTCCAATCTAAAAATATTTGCTACTTCATTTTTCAGTAAAGCCTTTCTAATTTTTCATATTACAACCTTGTAATTATTCATAAACACTGCTGCAAGGCAATCATTTGCTGAAAGTACTGCAAAACACTATAAAGACTAGTTCTCTAATCTGCTGAAACTGTTACAGAAATCTCATTGTAAGAGTAATGAATTGAGACTATTCCTGTTTTTTTCCTGTCTCCTTGAAACATCAATTGTTCCTTTATATTATTACTGTTGAAAGAGGTTTTTATTATGAACTTGTGCAGAGTTTTTAGTCAAGATATTCAGGTATTCAGGATGTTCACAATAAGTACAAACATTGATACTATTTAAAAACTCAAATATTCTGCTTGCATCACAGAAATAATATATGAGGGAAAAAAAAAAGAATGCAAGTTCAAAAATTCAGTTAAAACTAGCAGGCCAAAAAGCAGTGTGCTAAAATTTCTGTATTTTTCCCCCTTAAAACTTCCCTTGCACCACGTTCACAATAATGTTTATGCAAACAGAAAAACATGAAAATATGAACTTCAATTTCATTACTGTTCTTTTCATAAAAATATCTACATTATTTTCATGTGCTTTTGTACACAGGCTACCTCAATGGAAGACCAAGACCTAATAATTAGAAATTAATTTATGCAATAGTGGCACTTTTTTTCCAGCACAGTGACTGATTCTCAGTTCTGGCAGTTATTCTGCATCTGCATTTTCTTGGGTTTCTGAAGTTGCTTAAACAATTTCTTTCTGATACTGACAGTAACCACAATAGCACATGTTGCAACACACACAAAACCAAACTACAGCAACTGCTTTCATCAATATCACACTGAAGGACTAAGGAGTTTCTGGGAACTGAAATCTCCCTGATTTAATTTCTACAGTCAACAATGCATTTGTTTAGCTTGCTGTTACTCATGATTAAATAACAAATCCCAAAACCCAAATACAGTCTGTGATAAAATAGACATCCAAGAAATTGAAATTGGAAATGGCATAAAACAGCACGCAGTTTCAGAATGCTGTGCAGGTTGTTGGCTGGGGTTTTTTTTAACGTATGATTTGCAAGTGCCATATGTTAAGTTCGATGGTTGGCCATGGTCCCATGGATAATGTCATACATTTCTTCATATGAAAATTTCATACTTCATTTTTTTTGTGTGGTGCTGAAAGCAAAGAAGCAAAGATGAGCTGTAAGAGACCACGAGAAAACTAGCAACATGACAAAATGCTCTGGAATGTTTTCCAGCTCTGTCAGCTACAGTATTTGTCAAGTTAATAGGCAAGATGGAGAAGAAATAAAAAAAAAAACAGACCCAAAGAAAACAAAAAGAAAAAAGGAATTCAACTTGTGTCTGAAAATATTTGTTGGTAATTATGCAACTGTCCAAAAGCAAACCTAAAATGAAATTCTATCAGGTGTGAGTGTTACAATTATTAGATCAATACAGCTATTATTAGGAGGGGGAATGAAGGAGAGATTGTGAAGGACTTTAACCTTGCTGTCATCATACAAGACTGTGGCTTTAAAGTAATTCTCTATTTTTATTCTTTGTCAGGCCCCACTTCCAGACCAATGCACTTACCTGCTGGAGGCTAGTTCTGAGGATGAAATCCTAGGTTCAACATAAGTCTTAAATACTTACTTTTAAAAATGCAGAGTTCTTTCCAGAAAACCTCTACAAATGTCTCACACTAGGTGTGGTGTGGTAAGGTAAGGTTTACAACAGGCCAGCAGCATGCCATCCTTGTAAGGGTGCAAGCCTTAAAAATTTGGACACCTGTGGGACTTCTACTCCTAACTTTGTTTTATGTTATTGAAAATTCTACCAGATATGTACGAGACAAAGATGGGGACTCCATTGCGAGAGGCTTTTAGTCTTGGCAAATGTATACTTACCCACAATACTGGCAGGGAAACAGACACAAAACAGCTGATCTATATTAAGAGCCAAAGACAAAGCACACACGAGCACTGGATGCTTTCACCTGCAGCTGATTAGGAATTCATCTTCAAAGCCTGCCCAAACTTACTGAAAAAAGGTGATTCTGCTACCATCCTTTAGTATCAGATTACTCTGGCTGCTGTGTGCTTGAGAGACTGCTCAGGTTGTATCACTTTTCCCAAAGCAAGAAAGACAATTCAGAACAAAGCCAAGCTTGGTGAATTATACCACTTCATGACCAGAACAGTTTCCCCAGCTGTGCTCTCACAGAGTTTAAAGGAAAGCCTCTCATTCCTACAATACAGGAGAGTAAAGGCTGTTTGGGACACAACCTGTCATATTCATAATGGGAAGAATGGACTATTTTATTTCTGTTTACCCAAACAGCAGATTACAGTTCAGTGAAGATTAATACTAAGAATTCCAAAAACTTTGCCTGCTTAGTAGAATTCTTTTTGATTAGATTTTGACATAGCCCCACTGAACCTAAATAGGGTCACATGCACAGAAAGTAATAGCATAAAAAAGTGGCCTTAAAGTAGTAGAAATAAGAACATTGGAAATAAGAACATAACCAAAGAAGGTAACAAGCTTTGGAAAGTTCAAACAGCTGGAACTCCAGCTTTCTCAGTTTCTGTAACACTGGTTAGGCCAAAGCCAAGCAGAAGGAAAAGAATTAACATGTAAGCAGAGAAACACAGCTGCCTCTCCACCATGAAGAGAGCCACTCTCTATTGTCCAGAGACAGTAAAAGCACAACTTGCTTTAAGTTCAGCACTTCTTAGATCCCAATTTCTCTAAGGTGAGAGGGTTAAGACTTTTGTTTTATTTACAAACCCTGGCTTTTAGAGTAACAGCTACATTCACCTCAGAGAAGTTTTTATTTTTAATGGAAAAAAAAAACCAAAAAATTTTTTTCATTTTGCTTTAAATGAAGCATGAGCTCCTTTCCCTTTTGTTTTCAGGCACTATGTCAGCCATGCCATGGGTGGATTCACATAGAGTTCCTTCTAGAGCAATCTTCTCTAAGAGACCAAAAGGCTTTTTAAAACTCTAAGAAACCAAAAAAAGCCCAAATTTGATTAGAATAAAAATCTGAACACTCACCTTTTCAAATAGAAGACTCTCCAAGTAACTAGATCAGAGAAATAAAACTTGTTTAGAAACCACTCCCCTCCACAGCCGATGGCCCTGCAGAGGCATCCTTACTCCTCCATCACTCCACATCTTCGTGAAGAGCAGCAGTCTTCAGAAAACCCTCTGCCCTCCCCAAGGCTCTTCCAGAACCTGGCTGAGGATCCTGCAGCTCCACTGAGTCCTGTCCCAGCCTGGGAGCTGTCACGAATCTCTTCTCAAAACAGCTCACTTAGTCCCCTGGGAAGGAGCCCACCTGAGCCTTCATGACCCAATTTCCCTTCTCTTTACAGCAGCTGCAGTAGCAGAAAACTGACTGGTGACTACTATTGTCAGGTGTGCTAAGGTGACAGACTTGAGCTGAGATGGAAGCTGGTTGACTTCAACCTCCTAAATCGCTATCATTCTGAGATAGTGTGATTCTGAGTGCAGCTAAACTTTCAGTCGCCACAACATCAGCAGTTAAATTAATTCATAAGCATAGGTAATACTCTACAGCTGTTGCACAATAGCCCATAAAAGGAGATGAGAAGTCCTCAGGAAAAAAAAAACAACCAAAAACAAAAAAAACCCCAAACCAAAACAAACACATAACTAAAAAAACCCAAAAACAATGAAGGGGAGCTGAGATCTCAATTATTTTCATCCCACACAGCTGTAATTAAATCCTTTACTGAAAACCTATTCCATCCTTCCAGTGAGGCTGGCCTCCTGCACTCAAGGGAATGGAAGATCTACTTGTCCAAAGAGCAGGAGAGAAAGAGCGAATGAGAATACACAGAAGAAAGCCAGTGCTAATGACACCAAAGCTATTTAAGCAGAGAGGAGAAGAAAGGAGTCCTGTTTCTGCAGCTGCTTATACATTTTCTGTTTATGAATAATTCGGTAACAGGTACAAACAACGTTAAGTTTCTAAGCAGCTTCAGCAGAAGAGAGGAAACAGCTTTCCATTGCATCTCCCTCCATACTGTCTGCGACGCTTACTGTGCCCTCCTGGGGCTCATGCCATTTTTCATCTGTTTATCTACTATCTCCTCTTTTTTTCCATAATAACAAGAATTCTGCTTCCAGAAATAGTAAAAGAGCAAGATTCTAATAGAAAGCATAGTGGGCTGCGGAGAAAGAGTTGAAAGACAGTATAGCATGCACCTGCGTCACGTTCACATGTGCTAAAACTAAAACACAGCTGGTTGGTTTAATTTTAGGCCTACTAGCCTTGGCAACATCCCTTTTATCTTCAATGCCTAATTATAAAGTCCTAAGTGCCAATACTGTTAACTGCTTCAGCACTGAATGCTGTTGTTTCACTGCACTCATGAAATGTGTTCAGTAGCCTGGCCTTACTTGGCACAGTATCCTAATTCTCTGCTCTTTGAGTACACAATGCCTATACAGCTATTTCTTCCTTATCAAATTAAAAATCTAAACTCTAATAAGTGTTTTTAAGTGAGTTCAATGCAACTCAGACCTGAGCAAGACACTGAAAATGAAGTGACATGTTTGAAAGACATGTTTAGAATTAAAACTTGAAATGTCATTTCTATTAATTCCACCTATAATTAACAGGCAGTAAAAAAAACATTCAGGTGGCATACAGCTTACTCAGCCTTTTTCATGTTGCTCTTTAAAGTGATTTTTTAATTTATTTTCCTTCTATCAGATAATGGGTCAACATCCTTCTATCAGATAATGGGTCAACATCTCAAAAAAGATGGCAGACTTTGCAAACGCACCAAAAAAATATTTTTACAGAAACTTCCATTGCTATTTCCTCAGGATAATGAGAAAAAATGTAAAGATCACAAAAACACTAGGATCATTTCTAAAACCTCATTGGCAAAAGGTTTTGTTTCTTTTAAAATCATAACCTGTAAAACGTAGTTTTTTAAATAGTCTTTTAAAAAGGGATAACAATTTATATTCACAGTTCTTAAATTCTGTGAGGGCGTTCATTCACAACTGGCTATCAGCCCTGAAGGTTTCAGAATCAGCTCAATGAATTTTGCATTACTGCTTCCATTAACTGCTTCTAAACATATAAATTATTTTACCTTCTTCAAAGAACTTTCTCATAAATATCCTCAAAACCATTTTCTTTCTAAGCTTTCCTTACAACTCTGTTAAACCTCTGCATATAGGGGTGAAGAACCTATCAGGCCCACTAGTAATACCAGACACATTATTCCCTTGGTAATTTCTGCCAGGCTGTTCATATGCATCTTTCAGCCTATGTGGAAAGCTAATGTTTTGTGGTAGGGACAAACATTATGCTGTTAATGCTATAAACTGTGCAGTAACACTCATAACAGTGCAAGGGGTAAATAGTAAAAATTAATGAGAATGCTAGGTGATAAAAATCTTACTCTATCCTGGCAACAAGGTGAAAGAATAAATTTAATGACATTATGTCTGCAGAAAGAACAAAATTAGCAAGAAACTTACAAAATCTGGCCAGTAATTGTCTGACACCATTAATTTAATTTCTTTTTCCTATAAGTCTACATGAAGGAGACACATAAGCTTCTCTAGACAATCATCTGAAGACAGCAGCTTTAACGGAACGTATTTGGAAGCCACTGAATCTCTCTTTGTAATTGCCCTCTCTTTGCATGGAATTCATTACCCATCATCATACTCAATTACAGTACATTCAGGATTGCCAAAATCCCAGTGCTTCACTGACTTTTCAGCTACAATAGGATAAATACCCACACTTTAGTGAAGAGTATACTCAGCTGGCTTTTTAGAGGAGGGAGGGTCAACAGTATCATCAGTAGTACTAGTACTGAATCCTACCACTCTTGATTTTATTTTTCAACTTCACTTCCCAGTTCAAACTTTATCTTTGATGGACAAAGCTTCAGTGAACATTTTGCTGATGAAAAAGAATCTAAGTGGGTTCTAAGGGAGTTCTGAAGGGGCTCCTCAGGTTGTCTTAAAAGTCAGAATGACATCTTTGTAACATTTTTCATCCTTGCACCTCACTTCTGACTATAAGGCAGACAGAGCAAAAATAAACAGTTGCTCATTAAAAGCACAGTTTCATCACACTAATATGAGCTGAAACTACTAAGCAGTCATCTTTATACTTTCAAGGTACACATTTGAAAAAGATTCCATGTCAATGCATCAAAAAGCCTTAAAATTGATATATTTCTTTTGTGTGTGTGTGTGTATGTGGTTAAAAACTGAGGGTAGGTACTGATCCATCAACATGAGAAACCCCTAAGAGGGATCTGGGTGCTTCATTTTTCATAGAGCAAGCATACTTTGAAGAAACTGTTCATCAGTGGGGTTGAGACTGCAAGATTATCACACTAAGGAGAAAATGGAACAATAGAGATACTAAAATGAAAATTTTAGTGATGGAACTTCATGATAAAACCTAGATTAATATCTGAAGGATGATTGATTTGGATGTCTAAGAAAGTGGAAGTTCTGACTGACCCTTTTCCTGCCACTGAAGAAGTTTCAGTATAACATTAACTCTCTTTTCCTCTACGCAGTGGTATGTTCATGCTGCAGCTGAGTGAGGACATAAAGGTTGAAGCTTGAGTCTGAGTCTAAGTCTAATTAGGAACTCCCTTCTGCTGACAGGGGGAAGCCCTACATCCCTCACGCATATCCTCCTCCCCACTTTTTGATTCTGCCAGATACCTGGGACAGAGCTAACTCTAGGACCTGAATCACATAGAAGGCAGGTTCATTAAAACAACAAAAAATATATTTATAATATTATTTCTTAATATTTTATATACTATTAAATATATTTAATAAAATAAATACATTTTTGTATTTTAATGGTTTATGAACTGTATCAGGTCAACTGTGAAATCTCCTGTAAGTGGGGAATATGTAAGGGAACTGAGTAGGTGGAAGTAGAGGAGGAGGAAGGGGCAAATGAGGGAAACAGCAAAGGAAAATAGGAAGGAGGGAGACCTCAAGGCAAGCTGTTAATTCAGTTCAGCTATAACATGAATCTGCTTCTTACAGGAATACCTGTCCTCCATCCTGCAAAACTTTCATTATACTTTTAAGAGCTTTGTATCTTCGGTCTATCATCTCACAGGAAAACTTTACTGAAGCTAGTCAACAAGTTTGGAAGCTATTCAGAAAAGGATGCAGTGTGGCCACATGACCTCATTTTCTCTAGGAAATGCTCTTATAAAATATAATTACGCAGGAAACTGAAGCATGAGCTAGTTCATATGTAGAACCACCACTGAACTGATTAAAATGGCTTCTTTAAAGGTGGGATAATCAATACAGAGGGAGAGACAGTAGTGATACCTGTAGGGAACTCCTCTGTCAAACACAGTAAATGAAAGACTATTCTGAAGATGCAGGAAAAAAATTTCATAGAGGAGAATAAATTTTATTTAACACTGAGTTATGCCCTAATTCATGTTTCATCACTTTACTACCATCTTCTAGAGTAAAAACCTGAAGTAAACAATGGACTTCCAACAGTCTTACACCATGAAAGAAAGATGAGGAATGACAACAAAGATATGTACGGAAAAAAAAAGCATTATTTCTGCTGTAATAACAAGTGATACTGCCTGGTTTGGTTTTTATTTGTTTTGTTTTGTTTGGGGGTTTTTTTGTTTGTTTTGTGTTTTTTGTTGTTGTTTTGTAGTTTTGGGTTTTTATAATTAAGGAAATTGAGAAAAATACAATGAAATGTTTTGGAAAAATATCATCATCTTTCAGTCATATAGTTGTTATTTATGAATGAATCAAGCATTTCAATTGTAGGTTATCATTACAATTTAATAGAAATTAAGTGAAACATTACAATGGGTAATGAAGAGTAACTATTAAGTGACACACCATGCTAATTTCTATGGTCCACAACAAAGAAAAGGTTTACTCTGAATTTCAGATACTGAACCACTTATTTTTGTTCAACTAGCAAACAAGAATTTTGTATGTTTAATTTGAAAAGACTGTTCTTTTCTATAACAAAGACTAGAAATTACTATATGCCTTAATATTTCTCCATGCTATTCTGATTCATCTCTAACAAATATATAACTGAATATGACTTACCTTGAAGTAGAGCTGCAATTTGAAGTGACTGCTGAGATGGGTGTTCTTTAAGTATATCCAAAACCGTTCTACCCAAACTGTCCTTTATGTTGGTATCTATTCCTGAAAAAGAAAATGATCTGTGGTGGAATTTTTAACCCCAAGTGCTTTGGATTAGAAATGTAGTGTATCAGACTCAACTATCTGGCAAATTGAAAGCAAGTGTTTTTACAACTGCAGCAGATTAACAGCTGCATTACAGCTGAAGTACAGCAGACTCTTTAACTTGAGTAGCCTAAAATTCACATGCTGACATGGATGGTTTTCATGTTTCTGTAACTCATGGGGATATAAAGTAAGCTTCTTAAACCAAATTTGGGATTATTTTAACAATCCGTTTCTCAGAAACAGGCATCCTGAAAAGAATATTTTATAAAACCAAGAAATTCTCTGAATGTTTGTCCTATGTTCCTCTCCAAACTGCTTTAATTCACTGGGGACTTTCTAGTTGATAGTACCAATATGTGTTTTGGGAACAATACTGTAAGGTGATAGATAAGGAGAAAAAAAACTCCTGATGGTTTCCTGGAAGACCCCAGCTCCTGGGGAGACATTCCCAGAAACTAATAAGAGGACTAGACAAAGAAAGGAGTGATATGGAGATAGCATGGCCTTCATTTGCAAACCTCCTGCCAGATGGGAACACAGAAAAACCCCCCTTGGGCCTGTGTCATTTGTCTATCACTCCAAAATTAGTTTATTGACTATAGCCACTCAAAGTACCTAAGAAAAAAGGTATAAAAAGAGATTGCAAAAACAGGGCAGAAGTTCCATCAACACTGTGAGAGATGGCTGACAAGCCAAGCCGGTCTCTCTCCCTTTACTTCTGGTGATGCCTGGAAGGTGAGACATATCTTAGGCATGCCAATTGCTTATAAATAGCTAGAGTTTACTTTTGCTTCATAGTGCTCTTAGTAAGTTGTTTTGCTTTAAAGTTTTTGCTTGTGTTTTGCTTCATTATTATTACTACATGGTTTAAATGTGTTTTTACAGTTAGACCCTATTCCAGACGAAATGAACCCTATAAATTGTCACAATTTTGTATTAATAAATGTGTTATTTTGTGAACTGTTAGAGTGAGTCTGTTTCTAGGTGCTGACAGTTTCATTGACGGCGAAATAACTCACAGGAGAAACTTGCTAAGGGGTTTCCCTATTGCTATTAAGTGTAGTCCCTATAAAAAAATGTATCAAATGTCCTGTCTGTCTCAGCCAACCTGTTAAGCGAAGGGTCTCACCTAATGAGACACTAACAGACTGTTTTGGACATTAAAAGGCTTTGAGCTCCTGGGGGAACACCGATAAACAAAAATAAATTAAGACAGGTTGGACAGAAAATTCTTTTTTTCTGCCCCTTTTTAGCGTGACAAATATGAAAAAGTTTTTAACTTCATGTTAATAAAGTTGTACTTCACGGCAACATTTTTGAAATTCACGCTCTGAATAGAGTGAAATACCCATGTTTAGTATGTGGGCATTGGGAACAGCTACAGTGTTTCCTCACTGACTGTTCAGACTGCTGACAAAGTAATTGGCTCAAACTGTGAATGCAACCACTATGTTTAAGGCTCGCCCTGAATCAGAACCTATTGTATGTGATACTGCATGACTCTCTACCTTTGCCTTGTAGGGTTACCTCAGAAATGTTTGCCTTATGGTAGAAGACTCAAGTTGGTTTTCAGTTTGGATGTACTTTCATAAAAAGTAAAGGCATGAAAAGTCCTAACAAAGCGAAATTCTTCTCAGGACACTGAACAGAGAAGATCAGAGGAAGCAGGATTTATAAGCACATTCTGAAAGCATTCACTGGAAAAGGCTCCAGTTCTAGTAATTTCCAAACCCAATGGATAGTTTCCTAGTTCGTTTTGTAAGAAAGAGATTTTTTTTTTCTCACTGAAAATAAAGCCAAAATATTGCTGGGCTAATTTAGCAGTGGCAGCTGACTGTAAGAGGCCAGACACACTAACTTACATGTTTCCTTCGCAGTAGCTACTTAAAACATCATCTGAGTCTTTTTGAAGCAGAACTAGAGAAAAGGGCATTGTGAGGTAAAAAAGGAGGAAGGTGGGGAGTGTTGCAGAAGTGCAGAGCATTTGGGGTTGAAGGAGTTCACCATGAAAATTCTACTATCCTGTCTTGTACAATTATATGCTGGCAGAGGCTGTAACATGTATTAATCTATAAGAGGTGTTCTTTTTCTGTAGTCTAAAGGGTTTCCTATGTTTCTGTGATGTTCTCCAGTCCTTCCTTTTTTAGGAAATAAAAATGAGAAGAACCCTTTCAGCCTCCTTCTCATTCATTCAAACAGAAAAGCAACTTGGAAGGACTTTTTTTTCTGAAAACAGTTCTCAGATCAGGTTGAGATTCAGATGAGGAGCTGTGATTATGACATACCTTCTTCTGCAATATATAAATAACCCCACAAGCACTGATAAGAAAGATGAATGAGATCCCTCAGCGTAACAAAAGTTCACGTATCAGCGAGAAGTTATTTCTAGATATTTTTATTTTTGTTCTCATTTATTTAAGATGGTTGTCTGGATGAGTGATTTACCTGCAAAAAAATTCTGAAACTCTTATTATGCAGTAGATGGGTTTGTTTGGACTTTATATCTCTGTTCTTCTGTCCTTTTAGGACAAATGCAATTCTCAGAGACACAGTGCCTCCCCCTTTCTTCACAGGGACTCAAAGTTTATTCAGGAAATGAAGGAGCAAGCAGGATAGTGTGGTTGTTAGGAATAGCTAACGGAAGGAAATAAATGTGAACATGAGTATTCTGGTCTCTACATCAAAGAATATTCTTGGCTGTCTTTCAGAGTGAATAACAAAATTTTATGTAGCCATTTTGTTCTCAGAATACATTTATTCTCAGAATACAGTGGCATACACTGAGTCATATACGGAATTTATGAGTCTTAGTGCAATCTTCTTTGTTCTCTACATATAGCAATTTCTTATTCTAAAAGAACTGTGTTTTAAAGAGAAGTACATGTGATTAGATTTGCAAAGCCTGATAAAGATGAAAGTAATTTGTATAACCAAAAGTTGATGAGGCACACAGAGATTAGGAAAATTAAGATTTACCTGTTTCAAGCAAAATGCGTACTACCTCCACCTTTCCAAATAGGGCTGCTTCATGTAGTGCACTCCCTTTTTCTGTCTAGAAAAAGAAATATTGTGACATTTAAAATGCAAATTAAAATACCAATGAATCTTTTTGTAAAGAATACATTAAGAAAAGAAGTATTTCATTATTTTTTCCTCTCTATTTTACCTATACATAGAAAACACTGAATGGGCAAGAACAAATACTACCATTTTTTATTATTATTAAAGAAAACAACATAAATGTTGTCAGTTCTACTATAAAATTAATACCTATATAAGAAAATATAGTAGGAATGTAATACAATTCCCAGTTAACAAGCCTGCATTTGTGTAAAATTTCTAGACTCCTATAACAGGCAGTGAAAATCTAGTCAATACCATCAGTATCATCAATATATCAGCTGCTCAGCAAAGTCAGACAGTTTACATGTGGATATCTACAATTAGAAGTTTTAATGTGAAAGTGGATCACACCCTAGAAGGTCAATTCAGTTGCACGGTGAGAGATGCCCCAGGATATCCCACCTGGCCCCCAGCTGATGATCCAGTTGATGCTCACATTTGATCTGCCTCACATCTGCCTCATACAGATGCTCTGCATACCCTAAGGCATCTCCAACAGCATTAGATGCCTATGTTTATAACATTTAAATTCTACCTTAGATGTCTGTGAACTTGATTTTGCAGGTTTCTTTGACCCAAAAAAGGGTAGACTCTTGTTGAAATAAAATTTACAGTATTGAAAAACAAGATACCTCTCTTAATAAGCTACTTTTCTTAGTATTTTATCCTGCTGACTGTAACTGAAAACTCTGAACAACACATCTTTCCCTACAATAGCATTAGCACTAGCTAAAGTACTACTAAATCTCACTGAATATCTGGTTTATCTCCTTTTTTGATAATAAATTTGATTTTGAGATTTATTTATGGGTAAATGTTAAAGGTTTTACTCCTTGAATTTGTTTTTTCTGTATTTTATCTAAATGCACCCTTGTGACACTTGCTGTGGTAGAAAGACTTTAAAGACACACACATACACACACATAAAAACTGCAACTCTGAAAGAATACAGTGATTCATTATTAATTACTTGTGTCAGAATGCATCAGAATTACAGCAATGCAACTACAGGATATTCAGAAGTAATCAGAGATCCTGAGATAAGGTGTGAGCACACTGTAGGGGTATACATGCCCTACCAATTGAGCCTGAGAAGTGTTTCCTAGGTCCGTAATAGGAAGGCTCACTTATTATCTTTCCTCACACTTAGTACATGGACATAACAAGTAGAGAATGCCCAGTGATATCTACATCCCGTGCATCAGGTCTAGTGACAGTATAACAGAGGAGAAGGAAGTCAGTAGAGAATGAACATATGAAACACACCTCTCAAAACAATTTCTAATCTTTCCATTTTCAGAAGCAGTCCAGATGAACATTTACAGGCTTATTCTGAACAAGAAGACTAAATATTCAGATATACTTAGACACAGTTTCAGAATCCTTTACTCAAACAATATCTACAGGATGTTTCCAGTTACTGCAGTTGACTTCAACACGAGCTAACTGCAATGACAGTGCAACCACAAAGGTACACACAGAGACTTAAGTGCAGCTCAGAGATTTCTGAGAATAACAACAGTTCTCAGAAAAGTTATTGAACTAAATAGTTCCAATTACAGAAAGAGGCTTGACATCAGCAATCTCGAAAAATACTTTGACACAGCCTATTATTCTTTGTGTGTGATATGGCATTTCCTTTGGAACAGTCACTTACTGACATAAATAAACCTCAAGACTTTTAGCTGGACCTGGTGCTATTTACGTAGAGTTCCCTGTCATCAAGGAGGAGTGTTGACAGCAGGTCAAGGGAGGAGACCTTCCCTCCTGTTCACCACTGGTGAGCCACACCTGAAATACTCTGTCCAGTTTGGGCACTCCAGTACAAGACAGATGTGGAGCTACTAGAGGGAGTCACTAAAATGATTTAGAGATTGGAACACCTCTTTTATGAGGAAAGGTTTAGAAAGTTGGGACTGTTTAGCCTAGACAAATGAAAGCTTATAGAAGGACCTCGTCGGTGTGTACAAATATCTGCATGGAGACAGTCAGGCTTGGGCACGTCCAGTGACAGAATAGATAATGGGGAAAAACTGACACACAGTAGGTTCTGTTTGAATGCAAGGAAACATTTTTTTTGCTCTGCAGGTGACTGAACGCTGGTACAGGTTGTTCAGGAAGGCTGTAGAGTTTCAATCCTCTACTCAAAAGTTGCTTGGACGTGGTCCTGGGTAACTTATTCCATGGGATTCTGCTTGGACAGGGTGGGTTGGCATAGAAGACTTCCAGAGTTCCCTTCCAACCTCAGCCATTCTGTGATTCTGCCAGGGATAATAATTAGCCATATATACACCAACAATGAAGTCCACAGAGGTTCAATTGTTAGAGAAGGCCTTAGCACTAAATTTTAGTTCTGAGAGGATGAACTGCAGAGATGGAAACCAGCTGCACCTTGACTAAAATTGCAGAGGTCATTGTGTACTAATAAGAAACATTTTTTAATGGAAGAAGTGGACATACTTTAGTGAACACAGCTATCTAGAATCCATTGCTGTAGCATGATCTGAGACTGAGAAAGATCAATATTCTGGCATGCTAAATCAACAGCTTTGAGGACGAGGAAGAGGATCTATACTTAGACTACTCAGTTAAAGGGTGGAAAAGATCCTAATATGATAATTGTCACTGGCAGTAGTCCTTTCTAAATCAAAATTCCCCACTGGAGGAAAGGTAAGCAATATTTTCCTTGATGAAAGCACATATCTCGAAATGGAATGAAAATGAATGAGAAGAGGAAATTTCCTGTAGATGTCTAAGGCAAACAAATCTAATTTGAAAGTCAGAAGACAGCTCTGTAACAATGAACTAAAAGCTCTGCTATGCATAAAGGAGTATAAAACCTTAAGCCACCTCTACATATGTAATTCATAGTGTTGGGAGAGGAATCCAAAGCCAACTGCCAGGTTTTTTCCCTATATACTTTCTTGCTTCTTAGTCTATTCTACCGTGATATTTCCTGTCATATCTGAACACAATCCTCAAATGCTTTACAGGCATGCTGCACTGCCTTGCATTCTGGGGCAGCCTATGCCTTACAACTCTGAGCTTTCAGACAATGCTAATGAATGTCATATCCCGGAAATGAGATACATATTACAAACAGTCTACTCAAAAGAGGAATTTACAAGGCACACCATATAAGCAGTGCAATGATCTGTATGCTCTAAAGGTGATTCTCTGAACAAGAGGAAAAATATTACCATGAAATTGAACTAAAATCAGTCTGAGAATGTGGAGATTGAAAGCATACTTGTAAGATGCAGATGTGTAATCCTGCATAAGATGTCACAAAGATGAATGCTGACATAAATCTTAAAAGCCCTAGGCAGGATTTCACGGTAATAGTTAATAACTAACAACTGAATCAGATCCCTCGACTCAAAAACTATCCAGAAGGCAGAAATGTCCTTGTTACCAGAGAGTTCAGTTACCAAACTCCGTTTTAACACAGAGAAAATGCTGAGCCTCAGGATGAACAGGGTCATGAGAAATTCTGAGTACTGGCTGAGTAGATATATCTCTCTTTGTAAATGTACATGTGGCTTACTACTTGAAGGTAGAAGTAGTTTGGAATGTTCTCTTCTTGTGCAGCAGAGCATGTTACACAAATCATGAGGATTAAAAAATATAGTTGCAAATAATTTCTATATATTATTTCAAATGTGATAGAACTTTTAGGTAAATCTTTTTCACTTACAATGACATTCTTGTGCACTAATATACTCTTCTCTATACCACAGCAAGCGAGCTTAAGATTTATGGACAATATTCACTGGTTTACTTCCTGAAGCTTTCACTGGTTTGGATCTTATGTTTCTGGCAAAGTGAACACTACCATTATATTTGGAAATTCTTTCCCATTGATACTTAATAAAAAAAATGCTGGCATTTTTCCATGAATACACTGCTTGAGTTTGCATCAATGGCTTATATATTGATTACCCGCCATAAGTTTTCTGTATATGAAATACAGAGAACTGGAGCACAAATTGTGCTGAGCATATAACAAAACAGTACCTGCCCCAAGTAGCTTACAGCCAAATACAGGTACAATGTCGCAGCTGGACACACAGAGCAAGCAAGTACAGAAGGACATTGTCAGCAGGAACACTAGGATACATAAATCAACTTCGCATATAATTTGCAGGCTCATATAGAAGCATTAAGGGTTTTAATAATGACAAATTAATTTTTTTTAATCATGCAAATATGCAAAAGCTTTTAATTAGGCCACTTCTTTAGTCCTTACTTATAGGCAGTTTGCTATAGTTTTGATACTGATTTCAGACAGAATCTGAAAGACAGAATGGTGGCTTTGCAAACTGATTCACAGAATATCCTCCATACATAGTGACATCAAAAAGGAAGAAGGGGTACAGCTTTTTGCAAGAGAACTACAGTGATAAACAGTGGAAATTGCCATCCTTACTGTAACAGACAGGGAAGGCAAATAGGGATAGATGAAAGCTGGATAAGCAGAAGGGTACTAGTTTTTAAGGTATTTACAATTATTAAACTACTATTGCATGAAGCAGACTGAAACTGTGCAGTACCTTATTTTACTGAGGGCCCAAAATCTATCACTCACCCAAAACCTCTGTATTTTTCAAGTGTTTCAATTTAAATGAAAACTTCAAAACATAAAGAGATGAAGCAGATTTGCCCAATTCTAAATAATTTCAGATTGCAGGATATTGGATAGACCTGGGAAGTGAATAAAATGTGTGATTAATTAATTCAAAAATTAAATGCTGTCTTTTATTAGCCCAAGTATTTGTTAATATTAAAAGTGCTCAGGGAGTACAGAAGAGAAAGATAACGTGGATAAAGTAAACTTCCCATTTAAACAAATATATCTGTACAATTACAGAGTGATAGGAGACAGGCTACTTCTATAATCATCTCTCAACATTCTGAGAGCTCTCTACTGGTGATAAACTGAATTTATTTAACATGTATGAACTGTGTACAATTTTATTTACCACATAAGATGTTACTTTGTATATTATTTTTTCCCAATAAGTGATGCAGATCAATTTAATTAATAACAAAAGTCGAGTTCAGTTTTAAGTAACAGGTTCATTGCATGTTCTGCTCAGTTTAATTAGCTGCCAGTAATCATCAACAGAATTTTTCAGAGGCTATAGAAGTAATGTCAACAATATGTACAGAGCCAAATTGTCAATATGCTAAGATGTTGAATGAAAAGGAACATATTGATAGAGAATGTGTATACCAGTGAGAAAATAAAAAAGTGGTATTTCCTTATGTCAAGGAGGACAAACATAGAAGAAATAAGACAACCTAGTGCAAAAAATAAAACAAAATAAAATAACTGCCCTGCCTCTAAATAACTATGAAAAAACCCAAGAACATAAATTCCTTAAAAGCAATTAGAATAAAAATAAATAAATAAACCAAGTAAGCCCTGTAATTTTAGTGTAGATGCCAAACATATCACCATTACTAAAAGAATCTCTTATTTCTTAAAAGAAGATTGTAAAAAAAAATTGCAGCCACTGTATTTTTTAAAGGCCAGTGAAAAACTTTTAGTATAACTGTAGATAAAAATGGCTTAGGAGAATTCACAGTAGTGCTAAAATTATCTAGATTACATAAGAGAAAGAACACATTTCATAAAAGCATTGCGTAATATTTTGCCCTCATGCAACCATCAGTCTGTAAGTTGCCATGACAGAGATTATTTTTCTTCAATTATTCTGTCTTAAATATCAATTCAGGTATCACTTTCTGAATTTTTTCTCATTTGCTAGAGATAGAAGAGACATTATACATTCAGAAACATGCACCTGAGAGTTCTGTAGCATTAACCTTTTATAAATTACTGAAGATGTAGTAAAACTCAGATAAAAAAAAGAGCTGCTTGTATTAACCTTTGCAAGTAAAGAAAACTTTTCTAGTAAAGAAAATCAAAATCAAATTAAATTGAAAGTATAATGGTAGGCAAATACACAAGTATGCAAATCACAGGAAAGTGTTTCACTTTAAAATAGTTTGAAGTAAGTAACAACGCCAACTGAAAACATACTAGAGATAATAAAAGTCGCAAAACAATTTTACCACATCTCATCTGCAAGGCACTTAAGAATATCCATTTTTAATCTTAAAATATGCTAATATTTTATGATTTGCTTTCTTTTTTGTTTTTTTCTTTTTTTAGTCTATTTTTTCTTCTGCAGTTCACATTCTTTTTCTCAAAAGTTGAAAAACAGCACCTTGATGGAAGAATTCGGAAATGAAAATACATGGAATCCAGATGCAATCTTTCTATATAAAAGGGAAATTTATGTACAAAGGTGTTTGATTAAATGCACATAAAGCTTGAAGTGGATATAAATTTAGGCAAAGTTTAGGCAAAGTTCCCAAGATCTATTAATTGGTAGAGAATGTCTGGATGTGACTCTAAACTAGATGTAATTATGTTTGGTTTGTTTGTTTATCTGAAAATAGATATAAACCTGAAACAACCTTAATTCAAAGTATATTTTTAGTGTTGTCAATTAAATCAAGTGAAATCATAAGACTGAGGCAACACGTCACGCATAACAGAATCTGGTCCTCTCTTGTTAAAGGGCCTGGACACTTTCCTGTAGAAAGAACTGAACATAAAATTTACTGCTGCTGTACCTTGTAGCTGTTCCAAACTATGTCTATTTTATTTAAAGTTGCCCCTTTTACGTTATTATAACTTACTGTGTATAGAACTAGTCGCACCAAGCACCTAACAGCTTGGAGTCAGTAGCTGTAAGAGTGTATTGCTATAGAATTTTCTTTCAGATTTAGACAACAAGTTAGAAATGCAGAAAATCAAAATGGTTATTACCTGGTAACTTTGGGTTTAGCATGGAACCTAATAACCTTAGGAAAATGAGTTCTCAGTCAAGCACTGTTTCAGATTGCTATGACCATGAAAGGCCATAGCTTTAGCAAATCAGTTTGGTATCATTACAGCCACTGTTGTAGAAAATATAGTTATACACACCTACATGACCAGTTGATATGATTTGTGCATCTACATGTCTCAAGACAATATGAATATATGCACTCAGCTTTGAAGACATGCATCGTTCTTGAGTTACCTCTTTGAACACATCATTTGCAATGTAAAAAATAAATCTGTATTATATTTCACCTTGCAGCATTTCTAACAAAGTAAATGCAAGTGTATTTTAAAGAAAAAAGTAAGAAGTTATTTCGTTTGAATCATATTCTAATGATAAAGGAAAGGAAGGAAAGGAAGAAAGTATGAAAGGAAGAAGAAAGAAATTACACACTAACTTGGCAGCTGACATCCATTCCAGCCTCCAGAAGCACCTGTACGACAGCTTTGTGGCCATTACGTGCAGCAAGATGCAAAGGAGTGTGTTTTCTTGTGTTACAGTTCATCAGGTTTGGATATGCTTTAATGATCATTTTTACAACACGTAGACGTCCATAAAGTGCTGCCAGATCCAGAGGTGTTTCCAGTTTGTTGTTCCTTATTGTAGGGTCTGTCAACTCTTCCAACAGAACAGCAACAACTTCTGAATGACCATACTGAGCTGCACAATGCAGTGCTGTTTCATTTTCATTGTTCTGTTAAAGCAAAATAAAAGCTTCAGAAATTCATGTTTAATCATACAGTAGAATTGTTCAGCTTCCATGAGATCACTACAGAAGCAGGGTTTCTAATATAATGTACGGTAATGTATGTTAAATACTTCAAAATTACTCCACTAAAATTTTACTAATAATACATTATTACTTCAGCTTTGTGGCTCTCAAACAGATCAGGTCCCTATGTGTCCACATTGCTCCCAATCCATTTTTAACAATGTGCTCCCAAAAACCTTGTAGGCTCATGATACACCAAAATCTGTAACTCTCCTTGATTCAACTGTTTCTGAAATCATAGGTGAGTCCTCTTAGAAACGCTCTGACACTGAAGTCTCTCTTCTCATTTTTGCTGGTTTTGTACCATAACAGTTTGTTACTAGAGAAGTGAAATTATGGAGAAAAACTGTGCAATGAAAATATATCAGGCACAAGGTTAGTTTCATGTATCACTATAAAAAGCTACTATCAAGACAACAATTAAAGTTTGGAAGAAGACAAAATAGCAACTGTAGAAAGACTTAACACATCACTTAAGCAGTTAAGTCTTCTCAGAGCTCCAGGGAGAGATATATGTGTGTTTTTTAGGGCACATGAGTATGTGTATGCTGCAGACTGAATAGGTTTTTCCTTTACAAAGCAATGCCCCCCAAGTCTTTCCCAAAACACTATTCAATAAATTTAATAATAAATATTGAGGCTAAGCAGTACCTTCTTTAATTGTTTTCTTCCAGTTCTGTCTATATACTTGCAATCCCAAAGAGACAAATAACTTCAAGCAAAGAGGAAGGAAATAATTTATACAGCTCTCTGGATTCTATATGCCATCTATATTATTAATATATTATATATAATCTCTATAAAGCCTTAAAATAGGTTAGACTCTATAAATTTTAAAAGTATGTACTCTGAATGCCTCTTCTGATACGTGATTTATAAAATGTTATGACCGTTTATGAAATGTTGTAAAAGTAGAAAGCCAATAAACTAACGTGTCATATAAATAAATAAAAAATTAATGTAAATTCAGAAAAGATACTAAAGAAAGGTAGAAATGTAATTCTAAACAAAGGAGAAGCGATAAATCTGAATCCATAGTTCTATCTCTCAAGGAAACAACTGAAGAAAGTTCAGAGGACAGAGAACTGAAAATAGAAAAAAAAAATTTGTCTTTTTGAAAGACAGAAACAGTGAGAGATTCAGAGAAATGAGGCTCTGGACTCTTACTCATAAGCCAGCGAGCAAAAGAATATCCATCCTGTGCAGTACAAACTAGAAAGATGGAAAGGGGAAAAACTTTTCTTTTTGGTTACGGTGTTTCTAACTCTATAACCAAGAACTTAATGCTTGGGTTTGGGATTTTAACTTCATTGCTGTCATTGTCATCTCTCCTTGTAATTTAAAGTGACTCAGATGAACTTGGGAAACAGAAGAGACAGATAAATACATTTAGGTAAATCAACATTGCAGTTAAACTCTTCTGGTGTCTGTACCACCACACAACATCTGAGAGACCGGAATGTGTTTCCTTCTAAACCACAAGACATAGGCTGGAAAACACCCAGGTAGAAAGTGAGAAGCTTCCATTGGCAGACATAGCTTGATGAATAGTAAGTATTGGAATCATTGTGCATTATTCAGACCACCATGTGCTCTTTCTTTATTACACAGACCATAAATTCAGATTAAAAGACATCACAATACTACATGGCTGCAATGATCTATCAACCACCTGTGATAAGCTTTTTGTGCTCTAATGACTTCTAATGTATCTTTTACATAGGATTAGGCAAAGCAATTTTCTTATGTACAGTGGTATACCCTCAAATCACAACTACAGTTTATTAAAATCTATTTTTAGGTTTTCAATACTTCATGGACAGATAAAGGAATAGGCAACTGCAGCCTAATTTTGTGTACAATTAAGTATGAAAATCAGATAACTGCACATAAAATGGCCAATTATGGTAATTTTTGCCTACAGTTACTCTATATATCCAATGGAAATAGTTACACAAAGAAATTAGATGTATAAGTATATTCATATCCTGGGAGGTGAATAGCAAAATACATGCTTACAACTGTAACTATCTGTCCAATATCTGTTCATGTTTGAATTTTTTTCAAGAATTTATTGATATTACTTAAAGTATTTGGAATCTTATGCCAATGATCCAATACTGTAGCTTAAAAGTATTCTGATTAAATGTTTAAAGAGACATAAAAATTAAATTTGCTATGGTCCTTTTCTCAAAATGTGGTGACAGATATAGACACATAGAGACCAAACAGTCCAAATCACTGTTGCTGAGCAGCCAACTGAAATTTGCTCCCTCTAGATAAAGAATATCGAGCTGAATTTTCATGCAAGGGCATATTTACAGAAAAGTATATTTTAAAACAGCATGGTGCACAGAAGTAACAAAATGTTACTATTTTCAAATATACATTGTTGAACATTTTTCTATGGTTTGTATTTGCCAAATTAAACCTATATTTTACTTAATGACCAACTGATACAAAATTATAAAGAACTAGGTATCAGAGAAATAAAGCAGAAGAATCCAACCTGGGCAAACATGATAATTAAATTACCTACATATATGCAGTCAGAACAGGCATTGTATATATTGTGTCATCAGAGCTGAGAGGTGTTACCTAATTAGAACTCTAATAAAACATCCTTCCTTCTTCAAAATGTAAATTAATCAAAGACAGAATAATTTTTAACTTTCAAAGAGTAAATTAAAACTTGTTTAACTGCCCTCTAAATTTATCTGCTTTGACAATTTAGTACTGCTTATATAAATCACCTTGGAATCATGAGGTTTTTCTGAGGAGGGAGGAGAGAGGTTTTATGTAGGTTTTGACAGAGTCTGCCATCTTCAAATTTAGGAAAGACTACAGAGACACAGTTGGTTCAGCATTCCCAGAGAGATCCCTAAGATAATGGAGGCTCTAATGTGTATTTCCTGGACTGGAAAAAACTATCTTCCTCTTCTCACCCCTCAGGGAAAGATGGCCATGGATGTCTGTCAGCCTTACGAGTTTCCTCCTTAAGAAATTTGTTTAAAGAAGACATACAGTAAGAATAATAATTGAAAAAAAACTCCAACATATGAAGATATTTTAACAATTGAAATGATGTGATTTCCCTGCTCCCACAAATGCTATTAGTTCTGACAGGTCTTTTGTACGGTCAAAGCTAACTCAGGTGTAAATCTATTGATTTGTAGTAGTAGTAGGTAGGTAGTTTGTCTTCATATCTCTAAAGTAACACACTACTTTGAAGCAATATATGAAAGATGTGAAAAAATATTCTTGAAGAAACTACTAATAATTTAGTACTACTGCCTATATTTTCAGTCCCAAGTGTAAACAACTGCTCCTGGAGTACAAAAAGTTTATGTATTAACAGCCACTGCAGTGAGCAGTTAATCTGCTATAAAATGTCTAAGTTACCATTCTGTAATTAGAGCTTCAAATCTGATATCCAAGCGCTAAATAATACATAGTGCTGAAGAAAAAGATTAGAATTCTTGTAGCAATTTCAGATGCTTCATTACATGTTAGAAACTACAAGATAGACCCTACGAATGAGTGATTCTAAGAACAAAAAAATCAAGAAATCAAACTCAAGTGAAGACATACAAAACGTAAGATAAAAAGAGTAGACCAACATTATGCAAACACAGTATAAAACAGAAGTCTCTAATATTCACAATTAATATTTTAACCAAGCAGCTACTCTTATGGCCCAGTGGACCTCTTCCAGAAATAAGGAAACCATTCTATGATTCAGCCTTTAGTCTTTTTTTTAATTTTCTTCTTCATTATTTGCTACATGGGTCTCTTTGTGGGCATGATCCTGACGTTTTGTAGTCCTTCTCTGAATCCATTCTCTTCCACATAAGCCAGAACTCATACTTGTGTGGCTGAATTGTGCCTTCACAGCACTGCATCTCATCAGTATTGCAGGCTGTACTACAAATTTAGCTACTAAGAACGCATGCCACTGCCAAATGTAGAACATATCTTGAGGTCTATTCATTAGAGGACAGATTAGCAAATACATTATAGAGACAGTTATTGTAGCTTGGCAGTCTGATAGTGAAGTAGTACAGGACATATCAAGAGAATGAATGGCTATCATGAATATTATATAGGCCCTTGTGAAGCCTCTATTAAACTGGGTAAATTTAGGACTTCTGTTGCATAGCTGTGTAGTAAGATATTTTTGTCAAGCAAGTTTTAAAGATTCTAAAGTCCATGCAAGTACTGTACAACCAATAATGACTCAAGTAGTGATTTAACAGACCTTCCCAAAAAATTGTTCAACTTCTTTATTATCAATGCATTTTGATGATGAACTTGAAGACCTCCTAAATCATGGAGCCATTTCTTTGTCACATAAGCCCAATGTCAAGTAACTGAGACATTTGTTATGAAAAGATTTCTGCTATTTTCTCAGTTACAAAACGAGCACTTAAGTTAAAATTAAAGAAGGATGGAACAATGGGAGACTTTGAAAACATCTAACTGTATACTCAGTATACTCAAGAACAGTCAACTAGAGAGGGAAAAAATACAAAAATAAGGCTTTAATGACTAAAGAATTAAACAGAGGAGAAAAAAAAAAAAGAAACAATATATCCAAGACAGAGAAAGGAATGATGTCAGGATGGTCTTACCATATGTATTAAATCAGGAAGACAGTTTCCTCCTGAGAAGTTCCACCAATAAGTTAATCATTCTGAAAAAATAAAGGAAGTTTGCCTGCAAAGTACTCAGTGGGAATCAAAATCAAATCTACTGACTTTCAATCGAAATTCACTTTTACTTATGTAAATATTGTAAAAAACAGTAATCTCGTTGACTACGATGAAAAAATTTTTCTTCCAATTTATTTCTGCAATTGGCTTAAATCAAAAAGATGGCTCCTGCATATTTTTTCTTCTAAATAAAGTAGAGTAAGAGTTGCAAGGGAAATCGAAATTCATCCACGTAGTCTCTAATTTTAGGGGAGGGGGTAAAATCAAATGCAGAACTTGAAAAATATTGGGTTTGCAGGCTATTTTGGAAATTAATTGTACTCCTGGAAGTCCTTGAGGTGTCACTGGGAGAAGCACATAATGTCTGTGCTTCATTTTGATGTTTTGAAGAAGTCAGTAAATATGCTAGATGTTAGGTATTTACATATTATTAATGCATCTTGAACTCTTCTCCTTCATATTTCAGAAGTTTCAAACAATATTAAAGAAATGTGAGTGGTTTCTGTGACCATTACGATTTGAGGCACCAGTAAATTCTACAGTACACTGAATACATCAATTTAAGATAAAAGACATGCTATGTGCACAAAGAAAAAGAGAGAATATCACCAAGAAATTTCAGAACCATTCACATTTTTTCTGGTAAATTTTTCACTATTCATTTTCCGTAAAATATATATATATATACTAAAAACATACTTTGTGCATTATGTTTATTCCTGATGTCACTCATCTTTTTTTTTCCTGCAAAAAACCACTACCTATTGACCTGTATGTGGCTGTTATTTATTAACCATTTTTCATAGATTAGGATTTGTTATCAGTTATGTTAATTTATGATGAGAATTGCCATAATAAATGTTTGTGCTATCCAGATGTCCTTATATAAATAAACATGTAAGTAGTTTGACTGTGTTTTATTCGGTATTATTTAATAATAAGTCTTGATCTCATACTACATATTTGAAATTAATTCAATTGATAATTTACATAATTTTAAGTCTTCATTAATGAAGTTAAACACTTATATTTTTGTAATTTCACCATATTTTGTAATTTAAAACATACAACATACCTGTCAATTAAGAATCCTGCATTAAACAGTGACAGAATTCTTCTTACATAATTGTTATGCTGTAACCATGTTCTTTGTGTAGCTGCCACAACCCCCACAAAATAATTGTCCTTTAACTGTTTGACTCTTTACTGTTTTTTTCCAATTTTATGTAATAGAAACAGTAGGGGGCATTCAGAGCTTTAGATGTTGGATATGGCTCGATATGATCCTATGATGTTACTTAACTGTGTTTTAGAAGTGTAGAATGCAGTTCAATCAATTTACAGTATACCATATTAAATTCATTATTTCATGTAATATACATTTAACCATCATGAGCTTGTCATTTACTTCATTTGCTGTTCATTACTTTCACTTAAGTTTTTAGAAGGATTTCATTTACACAGAATTTTAGTAAGGTAGATGAAAAGCAAACATTTATTACAAATTGGTTGCAATTAATTTTAAATCATGAAAAAAATTATTTTCTCAAACTGAAAACAATTACGCTTTTAATGTGATCCTTAAAACAAACAAAACAACTAACCAGGAGAAAAAAAGACTGACTTGACTACAGTATTTGCTGTGGTGAGAAAGTGTCATGAAAAATGGCTATCCTTCTCTCCAACTTTCAGAAGAAAAAGGAAGGAAGAAAAATAGGCCAGGATTTCTTATAAGCTCTAGCTTCAGTTCCACAGATGTGAGAGAAGTTATGAGAGCTATGAAGAGTCACCTGCCTTATAAAGCCTATCTGCAAATAAGCAAAAGCCTCAGAAGCCTACAGGCTCATAAGAATGTACAACAGGTATTAGAGTGAGGATGCCACTTAGGTGTTATTTGAGGACATGTGGGTGGAGGTGGTTCTATATCAAGATGGCATTTCCCTCTTTTCTTGATACAGATAGTATTCTCCTGCGCAGAGCGCTAATTAGCAGGGGAAAGTAGGTGCCAGCAAAGTAGTCCACATACTAAAGCTGGCCATTGTCCAGAGTGGAATACCAAGGAATTTACAAGGTCAGAAAAACTCTGTATGCTTAACTTCAAAGTTTAATATGATCAAGATTCCCTTAAAAAACTTAAGGTGTAACATTTCTTATGAGGATCGCTCACGTATTTTCTATTATAAAGTTTTTGGGTAAAATTAATAGATGGCAGGATGACCTGTTTGAGTCAGTGGGGTATATAATCAGATGTATCCCTGCTTAATGGCTCCAGTGATCAAACCAGAGACAGCACATCTAATCAAGTTCAAGAATATTCTAGAAGTCTGGATGTATATGTGGGACTGGAGAGAAGTAGGTTTGAATTCACATTTCTCTTTCTGATCTTACTAAAATATCTTTTTCACTATCCCCCTCTCTGAAGTTCCTACATAGCTTCCAGTTTTCTGTCACTATACAATCTCTTCAAGAAATGGGTAACATGAAATCAGAAAGTTGCTTTTTGTTTTGTTGCATAAACAAAACTGAAAAAAATCCTCTCCTTGACAAAAGGTAATCCTACAATTCAACTAGTTTCATCCTACATAAAATAGCTAATGAGAATGAGAAAGTTGAAGAAACTCCTAATCTGCAACTCAAAGCACAGAATGACAAATTTTGGGGTTTGTGTTTTTTCTTGGATAAGTCAGAGTATCATAGGACTTCCCAGAAGACTGTCACATGGGCATATTCCATTACATTATTTTCCTACATTTCCTGTACTAATACTTGATATTCATATCATAGTTATTGTATGTATTCAAATGACTAACTGTATAACCTCAGATATCAAATAGATTATTCAAGGTATGGCATCTCACACTAGTTAAGTGTTTGCAATGTAAGTCTCACATTTTTTATTGTCTAACCATTTGCCTTCTGGCCACACTAATATAGGCATTAAGAGTGCAACTCATTTCTCAGATTGCACTTTACCATTTGAGGTGCTGTAGGTTACCAGGTGTTACTCCATCTGGAGTTCATCACCCACTCCACCAGGACCTGTGTTTGGGCAATTGAATCCTGCCTTACTTTTGGTCACCTGAATAACCCTGTTGGCTCCTGTGATTACACTGACCAGACCTCTGTGGATCCGAATGGTGCAATGTAGGCAATTACAATTTAGATCTGAATCTAGAGCTGACTCCCACCTTTACATTCCAATAACTCCCTGATTACCCTGGCAAATTCAATAGCTTAACGGTTACTACTTGTACTTCACAGCCTACTTCCAGTCCTTAAGCAGTTCAGCCTAATATAGATGGTGTCAAATTTTAATCACCTTCTTTCTCTTTTTAAATGCTGGCCCTATGAATGGACCAGATAAGAATATACAGAATAAAAACAGAAGGTGTGCCATATGTCTGACAACAGAATGCAACATACTTATACTGCCCTTACTCACTGTAATACTCTCATTATTTTTTCTTGGTATATATGTGTCCTTTCTGTTCCACATGCATACATGCAGTCCATCTGGTTTGTCATTTATCTCTTCATATCTGTTAATTTACAGTACACTTAAAATATACCAAGGATGTTAATTTTATCTCAAAGGTTTTCAGGACTTTAATATTTAATACAGCAAAAAAGATGCAGAGTTTATGCAAATTTACATCCATACATAAAAGATGCATAGAGTATGTCTTCACACGATTTTTCAAAGACAAGCAAAAAGTTTTTCCATACTTTTTAAATCTAATATTCTTTAGGTCAGTGCCCATCCAGAATAAGGGTATCTGATATGCTTATAATGGAAGATTTTATCAGTCTTGGAGAAGAAATTACTGAAACAATGGAAAATAGGCTTTTTTTTAACTTGGCTATAAATTTGTCAGACCTAAAGAATATTTGCTGCTATTTTCCGTTGATGTACACAAATATTTTTTATCACACTTCACCTGTTCATTCACTCGGGAGTGTGATGGTCCGTGATGGATGAGAATCTTCACAATATCTACATCTCCTCTCCAAGCAGCCAAGTGAATAGGAAAATAACCCTTATTATCTGCCACATTAGTTGATGCTTCATACTGAAGTAATTTGAGAACTATATCCCTGGAAAACAGGAGGTAAATCTAAAAATTGACAGAAAGCTTATTTTATTAAGTTTTTACATGAACATACATATTACCAAAATTTTTATCCTGGATAATAGAAAAAAACCCTTGTGTGTCAAGGGAAACATAGAATAAGTGAAGACCAATAATTTCTAAAAATAGATAGTAAAACATACCCAAAATGTTATTAATTTTAGCGATTCTTACTTCTTATGAATACCACCAATATTATCACCAGTTCTCTGATTCTTTCAGTAGGATCACCTGGCCAAAGAATCACTTTTAGAATTTGCCAGTCCAGGCAATGTGCATGTCCCTCAGACATTAAAGGCAGAGAAGTACTCTTGTCCCCAGCATTGCTGAGTTCTGGAGGCAGGAAGACAAGAGGGTACTTTTATGGACATGATTCTCACAGTAAGAGTTAAGTAACAATTTTTCCTCTTCTTTAAAACATTATCTCAAAGATAGTTAAAAAACAATTTAATGATGTTCTAGCTAGATATATACTATCTTCTATAAAATAACTGCTTCTATTTTCATCTCCCACATGCAGCTTCCTTATAATAGTGAGGGAAGAAGTGACTTATTATCATTTTAATTCTTTTTGTATTACTTTCAGTGTTTTTGGTGTGACTTATCATACATTAAATGAAAGACTGATATAAGTTGGTATGTTCCATCCCTGATTTTTAAGCAGTCTCCTGTACTTAAGTTCACAAGCTAAACATAAAAATTAACTGTGTGGTATGATAATGTTATCGAGTATTTCAGAAAGTAAATAAATTCTGTCTTATTGCTGCACTTGACGTCTCAGAGTTTGACATAGTCAGGCCTCATTAGTTCTTAAGCTAACAGAATCTATGATCCAGTGTGGGCAGTTCTACACACATTTTTTACTGAATATGGAAACACTGACTTACTGATTTGGCTCAAAAAATCAGTGGGGGAAAGAAGCTCGGTGTAGCCAACGTTACGTCTAAAAATTAAACCTGTGACTACAAATTAGGACAGAAGACATATCTGAAGCAATTATTCCCCCAACCTTGATGGAACCTTATTAATTTCCTATTGAGAAAAAAACGTGGTGAGTTATGAGGGACTATAACCAGGTCAAAAGAAACTCTCAGTTAACTTCAAAAGATATGGAATCATCACATCTAAGCTTTGAGGAGAATTTAAGCTGGATTTTGGTTATTCCTGATAAGGTCAAATAGCATGAAAACAACCAAGAAAGAGCAGCTCCACTATAGGACTTTTGCTACACAGAAACTTCCAGGAAAGTGAATCCTGAGCGAAACATTTTAGCATGCATAAGGTTTGAGAGACTTCTCATATCATAATAGTTGATGTTGTAATAGATGGTCTAATGAAAGCCAGATACACAGTTGTTTGAAAGGGACACAAAACAAAAGAAGCATAAGTTGAACTAAGTGGGAGAAAATTAGCAAAAAACCCTCCACAGCTGAAATCTATAGATAACAATACACAGGAACTATTGGGATGAGTCTATTGCAAGATTCAAGCTACAAAATAGAACATACATCTCCTTCATCCTTCAAGAATGCCCTGACCCACCACACTTATCTAGGGTGGTTCTTTTTTAGCACTTTGTCAGAACTTTTTTATTTTGTAGAAATAAATTTCAGAAAGAAGACTGAGAGTCCTTAGCCCAGTAACATTATTGGGCTAAGTAAAATTATTTAGGGAGACTGAGATTCCAGTGATTGCCCCAGATACTATTTAATTACTTATATAAAGCAGAATAGTTTCTGAAGGAAAGAGAACTACATCAGAATAATGAAGGAAGAGGGAATTCATCACATACAGTGATCAAGCAGGGATTTGAATACTGGTGTCCAATAAGTATCCCAGCCAAAAATTATTGGTTGGGTCATTAGGTCTCGCGTTCTCACTTTTCCTAAAAAACTCGAATATCTCAGGTTAAACCTAATGTAAAGTGGGAAAAATTAAAACCCCAAAGATTTTTAAAGGACAAGAATGTCCCCTAAGGGGGAAGTTTCTTTTATCAAAAGATTGTACACAGTTTTGATTTTGAATATCGAGCCTGAAATCTGAAATAGAGTGTAAAGTTATTTATTTGTCATTTGTAGTGACTAACAAAATTAGAATCACCAGGTGTCTGTCCAATTCTCTTGCAGCAGGAGCAGTAGGGTGGCTTGGATAACAGGTCCCGAAACTTCATGATTCATCATGAAATACCTCATGATGTATTTCAGTGTACTTTAATATAACAAGGTATAAATGGGATATCAGTAACTGCTACTTACCCTGCCATGAGTGTAAGGGGTCATAGCAGCCAGCACTGGACTTTTCAAAAGCTGCAGTTAGATATGCGGCTAAACATAAGTCCATATTTTTAAGTTCTCCCAAACCTCAGGAGAAGTTTGGCACACGCTGTGTCTGAAATGTTTTGGTATTTTATAGTTTTTTTGTGTATTGCATGTTTTGAGATTTTATAGTTTATAGTAGAATTCACTTGAAATCTCTGATAGTTTCAGTGTTTATAAAGTAATATTTTTAGTTTGCTGCATAACTATTGGTTTGTTGCCAATATTAAACATGCTAAACTCAGTTTTTGTCTATTTAAAACCAGCAATCTTTGCAAGCTAGCACTTCAGCTTTTGTCAGCCAAAAACGAGCAACAGCACAAGAAACAATCCATAAATTATGAACAAAAAGGCTGAGTTTAACAGATCATATTAAGGAGTTAGACCTAATTCCATGGAAGTAAAAATATATTAATGGATGATTCTGATCTTCCTACAGAGCTCAAACTTTGGAAAATGCACGGTATCTAATTTAACAGTATTTTAACTTCACATATTTATTTAGAAGCAGAATATCCTATATTCACCAAAAGATTCATCTTTCCTAAAGAAAATATGCAGGTTTCTAGAATATAATTAAAGACACATCCTAATGTCTTAATTTTTCCATGAAAGAATGCAAAAATGGTGCAATGAGTAAATTAAACACAAAATTATTATGTTTATCTTATGGACAGTCCAAAATCACATTCAAGTTAGTTCAAATCACTCTTAATTTCAGTTGGTTTTTGGGCAGTTCCTTATCTCCCACAGAGGAATTAACCAAAGCTTTGTGTCAGAATTTTCTTTAGTGAAAATCCAGTCAGCATTAATACCATCAGTCTGCAAACAGGGTAGTTGGACTGCATTAAGTGGGGTAGCTCTTACCTTGGTTACAGTGGGGTCCACCCCACTAGAAATTTCTAGACTTCATTAAAACCTTTCTTTCTTGTTCTGCCTTAATAACAACATGCAGCTGGCAGAAAAATACAATGGAGGTAATATGTAGCAGGGGGAAAATGTAACAGCAGAGATAACATAGAACAAATAACAGGGTCTAAAACAAAATGCCTAGCAAGTTTCCAGATTTTTTTCAATGCCTGAAGCAGTTCACCTGCACTGCTGGGCCTGTGCAGTGCCCCTCAGTGGGGATTTTCCATGCTTTCCCCTAAAATTGTTGAGACATGCATGTGGCAGCTTGGATGGACAGCAGCATCTTGGGAAAAGCTGTAAGGTCCCATATGAGGTAATAGCCTTTTTTTTCTCTGCTTCCAAGTGTATAATTACTAAATACTCTTTTCATGCTAATTTGCTTTGATGATGATTAATCTTTACTGTTCTTTTGTTTAACAAAATTCCTTCCTTAAACGTTCAACACACTATAAGTGTATACATATACACAAAAGTATACTACAAAATTTTCTGCTGCAATTTCTCAGCAACTAAAAAGCACTAGAGCCACAACTAGTAACAATAATAAATGTACTCAAAATTGAGGAAGAATTTGGAAGAAAGAGTACATAATCAACAGCTTATAAACTGCATTTCCCATTTGTCATCACCACGTGCTGATACTGATGACAGTGTCAAAGCATTCTATATTAATATATCCCATGGGAAAAATCACTATTTCAGTAAGTCAAAGTTTGTCAGCTTTCAGTGAAAACCTCAGTGCGATGTTATATATTTCTATGTCACACAGCTAAATACCATTCTACATAAAAAACAAACGTGAGGCACTTACTTGTGTCCATTTAAAGCTGCATGATGTAAAGCAGTATAACCTGAACTGTCTGTGCAGTTTATGTTTGGTCCTCGCCAGATGCTGCAAATAAAGCAAAATTGTGAAGTTAATTTTTTGGCTTGGCAAGTACAGACGTGTCAGAAATCTGATGTACAAATAATCTAAAGATCTCTGCAACAAGTGTGATTAAACTTTAAGAGATTAATTACCTTATAAAGAATATAAAATAGCAAATGTCATCTTGATATCAATATAATTTATTTATAAAAATAATTTTACACATTCATTTTTATAGTAGTCATGAACTTTATGTAGGGCAGTCTTAAAGACTAATGACTCTTCTGTCATTTCAATTAGATCTGTTCTCTCCCTATCACTCTGGTAATTACACTGAGTTTGTAATCTGATGTTGCACTACTTTTTCACAAGTTTTCATTGACTTTAGGTCAGTTAGTCTGGAATCAAACAAACATAAGATTAGTGAGAATCCCTTTAAAGGGACAGTATATTTATTCCTTTTGCTTGACTTGATATTTTAGCTCCCACTTTAACTGATTATATTTTTTTAATAAATTAAATATGCCTTTAAAATAAGTTAATTAAATTATGTTTCTTCCTTTTTTTTCCCTTTTGTTATCTTTCTGTATTTTACAGTCATCTTCATTATATGTCCGGTGTAAACAGTTTCACCACCTATCATGGACTCTTCAAAAACCACTAAAGGAGATATTTTGTTTCAAAGTTGAAAAACATGGCTGCTAATCTACCAAAACCAACAGCAAAACCAAATAGTGGAAATTGGATAACAAAGGCATATTGAATACCCACAGGTATTTTTCTAACCAACTACATTTGAAACTAACTGTATCCTTTGTAGAAGCAATTTATTCTTCTGCATCACAGTTTCCAATCATTAGTATTAAAATTTCCAAGACACAAAATTATGAGCCCTGAATTACAATTTGTTTTCTTTAGTTTCTAATACAGTGTTAAACAGTCATTGGCAAGCCACATTTTTGCTTCACTTCGTACCTTAGAATCAAGCGCTGTAGTTTAAAGAAAATAAGCTGAAGCTAATAGGTAAAAGGAATTCTTCATATTGACATTTTTCATTATCTACATGAATAAAATGACATGGTATGCTTAACATATGTTTTTTTAAGAATTATATACTACAGAATCTGTATTTTACTACCTAGAAAATGGAATATATGCATATACACACACACACACTACGGAATACTGATGTAGACTGGTCTCTTTTTCATTGTGTGTGTTTGAATGATTCATTAGCTCATAAACTTAAGCACCTGTTTTTCTGCAAGTAATACTGGGTGCATACAGAATTATTTGGGTGATACACTGTGTTCTGAAGTGAGTGTAATTCTACATTATGCTAGGTATCTCACCTCTCCCTGCAATTTAATTTCTTGGAAGAACACAACTGAATTATTTTCTTGGGTGCAAAGAAGAAAAACAATAGGTAACTTTTTTAAAAAATCTGCTCAGACACTTACAGATATTCTTTTCTACAGAAGGCAACTTCCAGCTAAGAAAAGTCACTCTAATCTTTTCAATTCAAGAAAGTTATTTTAACTTCATGAAATAGTAAAAACTGAGTCCTTGAACTGATAGCTTCTCTGTAATAGACAGATGTGATTTATATGGCAAAGAAAAACTGTCTTTATCTATTGGAAGGAAAGAAGTCCTTATCTATTGATACTCTATAACCTTTCATACTTTTGCAAATTTTTATTCATTATTTTCTAATCTATTGGATTATATTTTCATCACATTATTTATACCAACTAATAGGAGAATGAAGAAAAATAAGTGGTATAGAAAGTAGCATTTTAAATATTAAAAAAATACACAAACAACCAGAATAAAATTTACTTGGTTTTGCTAGCTTGCTTGCTTTGGCTTACAGTTGTTAGGACTTGTCTGTTGGTTGTTTTTTCAAAATGCAAGGGATCTATGAGTTCATATATTATTCATGATGCACTGGGCATCACTAATAATATTTTTAAAAAAAACATTAAAAAAACTCAAAGAAAAACTAAAAAAAAACCACACCAAAACCCTGCCCCAAAATCTGCATTCTTTATTCCCTATTTTTCTACTTTAATTAATGCATTATTTAAAACATTATTATACTTCCTGAGTCTGGTCTTAGGAAATATTTTCCAACTGAAACTATACTGATTTAAAAAAAAAAAAGTCCTCTGAAAATTTATTAGTGAGTATATAAATGCACCTATGTGAAACTCCTCAGGACACACAGGTTGGGAGGTTGAGAGACAAAGGACAAAAGACAGTGTCACCGATGACTCAGAGACGCAAGACAGGATGGACAAACTAATCACTGTCAGCTTCCAAGCGGTACACAAAGCCATGCTCAAAATCACAGCTTGGTAACAAACTAAAGAATGCAGCAAACGAGAGCAGGACTTGGCTACAAGCACCTCTTTTCCCCTGGACTGGTGCAGAAATCCCCTCCTAGGTGGTCTCGCATTCTACAGTATTGCAACATTATTTTCTACAAATGGGATGCAGGTCCAGTATATACAGGGCCTATTTATGCATTAATAACTGAGAATCAAATTCAAATTGGACAGTCTGTGAATGCAAGTTCTTACACTCTAAAACTCCCAGATTCATCTAAAGCTCTTCTCTTGCAATCAGAATACAGCAGGGCAAATGTCCAGTCGCATATTAGCTCTATAAAAAGCACCTGACTTAAAAGAAGAGTAGAGTGTAGATTGAGAAAAATCCTAAAGAGCCCTTCATTGATATCATAAACATATACCATTTGTGAAGAATTATCAAATATATCGATTTATCTGTGTATTAAAACACCTGCGAAAGCAACACTAAGGAGAACCTGGCACAAAACAAATACCATTCAACCACCAGAAAAGGATATTTATTGACAGAAGATTAGCAGCTCTTTAGAATACTGTTAATATTGAATGTTCCCAAAAACATGTTTTTCTAATACTTTGATGTGGTCAGTTATCAAACTTCTTAAATTGGCATGCATTAGTAAGTTAGGAATTTGTTTTCCTATGTACATCAGTAAGTTAGGAAAATCTTCCTATCACTTCATGAATTTTACTAAAGTAATTGAACCTACTTTTTGTGCAAAAAATCAATTTTTATTCAACAACTAATTAAAACATGATTATCAATTAGTTTCTTCCATTTCACTTTGCCAAAGTAAGGCACAAAGAAACTGTAGCCTGTTATGCTATTTACATTATTGCCAAAAGCAGAGACCTCCTTATTTACAGTCTGTTCTCACTGTGGACAAAGAATACTGACCTTTTGAACTGACATCAAATATTAATTGAAAATACTCTTTACTTGGTAAGAAAATTAGTATTTTTTCTTTCTTTTTAATGAGCTGAAGATAATTACATATAAAGAGTAGTATTTCAAAAGAAACATGAAAATAACAGACTAAAGAAAAAGATGGTCAGTTGATTTATTTTTCATTTTGCTACACTTTTTGCCATGTGGAAAGAAATAATTGTGAAGTGGCTGTTGTTAAACACATAGAGACACAAAAGCAAGGAAATCAAAAGTTAATTCAGCTAATCATCACACAGGTACACTCCCCATCGACAGTGTAAGAACCATGCATGCAAGGTATGCATAATTTTTCCATCACATTTCCTCTCTGTTCATATATCTTCATCATATTATTTTATTATCATTGTAGTGTATCATCACTATTTAGTTATCCATGAACTAATACTTCTGGTCTTTATACGGTAGTTTAGCTAAGGTGAAAGGAAAATATTTTTGGTAAACGATGATAACAGTCTTTAAAAGCCTAAGAAGGCTGCCTGATGACATGAGTGTCTGTCTGTCCATTGGTTTCACTAAACCTTCTCTGATAACTGACTTGTAACTCTTTGGAATTTATTTATTCTCTGAAATAAAGCAGCAAGGAGGATGACACTGGATGGAATCAGTTCCTCCAGAGAAGACAGATAAAGCATGGTGTTCAAGCCTGCATACTTTAGGGTCTAATCCCTGCTGAGGGCTGAGAGGCTCACACAGCCTAGTCCTCACCCTTCCCACTCCTCTCCTCACCTTCTCTCCTAGGTCCTCAGCATTTTTGGAAGCTCTTCCTAGAGACACCCTGGATCTTCAGTTCAACAGAAGTAACGAATCTCATCTTGCCAGGTCAGTTTTAATAGCGGGAAATTCTAAGCTTTACCCTCTTTCCATTGATGTTGGTGGCAAACAACAACCAGATATATCTAGTTTCCTTATTGTTCCTCTGTTCCATGAAATGAATACATATTACAAGAACTTGTGTTGTTCTTTATATCACAGGAGAACTTGTGAAACTTGTGTTGGGCCAAAATCTTCCAAAATTTCCATGTTAACTGTTAACCTGACAGAAACACATTGGCTAAAGTTATTTGAGCACACAGCCAGGCTACTATATTCATTAGTGCTCTGCCTACATTCATACACATGGTCAGTGGTGTAAGGTGAGCTTATACAAAGCACATGGACAATTTTACAGAGAATTTTTGAAAATGCAAACTTTTACACAATAATATGTATCATCATTCAGACACACAACAATAATGGTACTTACTGTGAACATCAGAAAAATAGCTCCCATTCTCTATTTTATGCACAAGTACATCAAATTAACAACTATTTTGCTCTAACCTATACAAATTAATATTGTTACTTATCAAATATAGAAGAGTATCATTTTAGTAAATGTGGTACAAGATCTACAGGTATGTCCTATGTTCCATAAGTTTATCACAGGAACATAAAACTACTGTTGGATGAAGGTATTACAGGTAAATGGAGGTAATTAAAGGTAAATGCAACTTCCACTCTTCTTTGGCAATGAAGGCTTACAGAGCTAAAGGAAATTCTCCCATGCAGCATATGTGTAAGATACAAAGAATTCTGCTCAGGTATTTAAATTCCCTTACCATCAAGGAATTATGGACTTCAACTTGGAAACTTGAAGAAATAGTTGGTACAAGCTAACAAAGGAGTATATATATTTGATTCATATCAAGGAGTATATTTGATCCCTC